GTTACTATGTCCATGCACAGGGGGAACAAATCTAAGGTTGCAAAATGACTGAGATTCAGGCATGCTCCAAGTTTGACTTTGCAACCTCTGTAATAGTGTCTTAACCTATGACATCTTTTTTTTTTCTTTTGGTAAAAACAAACTTAAAAACTTCTTAATGGCCTATATCTTATTAACATCTATGCCATCTTATGTGGTCTATGTGTCTGTAGATGCAGCAGCATCAAACAAAAGCATGTAACTTTCCCCCCCGAGAGGACAGCGGGGGTTGTTGAGCACTGGGTGAGGCAGTAGAAGAGGAAAGCACCACACTTTGCCATGTGACTATGGGGGGGTTTGCAGAAAGCAGGGGAACGAGGAGACAGGGGGATACGGGACCCCTCCACGGTCTCCTGCTAAGATGTGGCCAGAGCAGCCTGGCCTTTCTATCCATTTCTTCCAGCTATATCCCTTTCTGTTTGTCTTTAACCAAGGTCCTCTCTCAGGCCTCTTTCTCCTGCCTCCCCTGTAGCTTCACCTGGCCAGCTCTTCCCTTCTGGCCTTCTGGGTCAAGTCTAGATCTCTGCCTTTGCGCTCGTGTCTGGTTTATGCGCCCAGCTGTCTCCGTCGTCACATCTCCAGTCTCCACCTCTGCTCTAGCCTCTGCCCACTGCATCCAGCTCCGAGTCCTCCTTCCCGGCTCCTAAGTCACTCTCTGGCCCTCCTTGATGAATAAAATACCAGCTCAAATGGGTGAAGACCAGCAAAATTTTAAGCACCTGAGATCTTTGCACCTGAGGTGTTCAAGCGTGCTCCCATCTCTTCCTCTCGCGTCCAAATTGCCAAAGCTGAGGAGCGATGGGGAGGGATAAAGAGCAGCCGGGTTGGCCGCCCTTCCTCACAACCTGGCTTGAAAGAGACATTTCCTACTCACCAGACAAAACCAGACAAGCCCACGTGGCCGACATCACACCATGAGCGGTGCCTGTAACAGCCTGGGGCCCCCTGCGCTGCCGGAGGCGTTGCCTCCACTGCTTTGCCGCCTGCCTGCGTCCTCCTCCTGCCCTGCCAGGTTCGCCCAGGAGAGCTGGGGGAGGCGGCATGGCTGGTGGTGTCACAGACACCTCTGTTCCCACTGTTCCTCCCTCCACTGCCCCTGCTTCCTCCCACCTACGGCTCCCTTTGCCTGCGTCCTCCTCCTGCCCTGCCAGGTTCGCCCAGGAGAGCTGGGGGAGGCGGCATGGCTGGTGGTGTCACAGACACCTCTGTTCCCACTGTTCCTCCCTCCGCTGCTCCTGCTTCCTCCCGCCTATGGCTCCCTCTGCCTCCCCTCCTGCCCGCCGCCAGGCCTGTGCGCTGCCTGGCACTGGGTTTGTGTTGGGGAAGGCAGCGGTGGCCGCCTGTGTGAGGCTGAGTTTGGACACAGGCCACCTCCTGCGGCAGCGGGGTCTGCTCTCCTCCTTGCTGTGCCACAGGGTCCAAATTCAGAGAAGGCCCCCACGGAGGATGTTTGGTTTCCCTGGGTTGACATCCACTGCAGCTTTCTGTTCTCCATGCCTCTCCTGCCTCCCTGAGATTTGTGGTCTCGGTGGCTCGCCCATCCCCAGCCAGCCATGTCCTTCATGGGGCAGCCCCTTTGGGGCCTCTGTCTGTCCGTCATCACAGGAGCTCAGTGCGGCCCATTGCCTCCCCACGCTGCAGGTCACCTCTCTCGTTCCTCATTTGGCCTCATAAGGACTGGGTTACCTCATCAGCCAGGACGCTGCTTGGGGACTCGGCTTTGTCCAAACATGGCTGCTCTGGAGACTGGCACCTTGTCCCTGTCTGGTGCTCGGTGGTGTTTTAGGTTTCCCATCTTGTTTAGGGACAGATCTTTACTACCCATTGCACAAAGTGCTTTTCTGCCGTACCCCACAACCTGCCTGGCTCTGCACAACACCAGCTGTCTTCTGCATCTGTTTTTTGCCTTTTGTAGGTGCTCACCTATCATTTTAGGGCGCGTGTTGACCATGTGCTTGCAGCAGCTCTGAACAACAGCAGGAAGGGACTGAACCAGAAGGACATTTCTTTCCTCCTAAATTCAGAAGGGTGGTTCAGCAGGGTCAGGCTTACCTGCAGAGTGGCACTGCCTCGTAGGTGGATGGGGGTTGTATGGGGAGGGAGACCTCGGCTTCCCTGCCTCTTGCCCGGGATCAGAGCCTGCAGCTGCTGCCTGCTGCCGGGAGGAGTGGAAACACCCTCTCCCCAAGGGGTGATGCCCACCGAATCCACTGTGGAGGAGGCGGCAGGGAGCAGGAAGGACGTGACTCCAGGCTGAGGCAGAGCCAACAAAATGTCAGCTCTCCACTTTATCAGGGGCCGCCTTTTATCATGGTGGCATTATGCAGGTGGGGAAATCTTCCTCTGTCCTCGGGAGGGTCTGGCAACCGACATCTATCACAATACCTTCCTCTGGTACACCACTGAGCAGCCAGTTCAATTTGTTTCTCATTTGGAAAGGAAAAGATGCTGGTTTACATTTCTTTTTCTTATGAACACCCAGTCATGAGTAATTTTACACTTGTTCCTAGTGGCACGGTGGGAATCCATGTGACCAAAATGGTGCGACGCCATTGCAGAGCTGGCATTCACATGTGCAGTTTTTAAGCATTTTCTTTCTGTATCCTGTACATTTCTAGGATGTCATTGAGCCCTCAGCATCTTAAAATGCCTCTGTACAAATACCACTGCACAAATGTAGTGCTAAAGCTAAATGGGTGACCTAATTTTCTGTCCCACAAACCCCACTCTGCGCAGCGTACTTCCGCTCTGAAAAGAGATCCTTGAGAAGTGGGAGTGCATGTTGGCTGTCAAAACTGGCCAGACTACATCATCTCGGTGTTCGTGCATAAACAGGTGTGTGTGACTGTGTTTTCTGCTCACTGCCAGCCCTGTAAACTCCATCTGGAACGAGGCAGCCAAATTGTCATTTTTCTGGAGCACAGGACAGGAAATTCTGCCTTCGGACTGCTCCTGTCGATAATGTGTGAGCAGACCAAAGTCTCTTCTCTCGCCCAGACCTGTGCGTGCCTGGCTGAGCCACTGAGAGCAACCAAGCAAAATACGGGACTCCAGACAGACACAGAAAGCAGCCCAGTTGTGAAGGCGGCATTTTTCCTCTGCCTACAGAACAGAACTGCATTAACTACATTATGTTCTCATTTAGTTCACTAGGAAGAAAGGTGATGGAGAGAAAATGGTTTGAGGAATCGATATATTCTTATACAAAACTCAGTAGGAGGCATTTTTGGTCTGGAAGTGCAGCAGAAGGAACATCCAGACACTCGTAAGAAGGCAGCAAGCTGGCAGGCAGCTCTCCACAGCATGTGTAGTTGACCCCATCTTCGATATGTGAGCTGGCCCTGGTTATTGGACCCGAACGGTGGTGTCACAGTGTGCGTGGCAAAACAGGCGGTGACCCTGACTCATGTTTCTGGGTGTCATTTTCCTCTGGTTGCTTTTGTCTCCTAAATACTTACTCTCCTGTAATCTCACTCTACAGCACCACTGCTATGATGGGTATTTATTACATCTGTTTTCTTTCCTCTGATCAGGATCTGCAGTCCCTGACGTGGCTTTAACCTCCTGGATGGAGTGAAGAGAAACAGCTTTGTGGCCAGAAGCAGCTCAACACTGAGACAGTAGAGAGATTGCTCACAAGGTGAGAAATTGAATAGAGCGTGTCTGGGAAGGGAAGAAAAGAGCCGAATGCTGAAAATTTGGCATGTACTGTGCTGCACGCTCCACACTCATCCAGCCTCTTCTGCTCCCATACTATATAGATTCTGCTTTCAGGAAGATTCATAGGCAAGGTACGATAAAGATTAAACACATTCCTGGGGAATCTAATACCCTTTCAAAAAGAGCCTATCCAAAAGGAAATAAAATCCTGTGTATTTTTCAGCAAAGACTATACTCAGAATGTTAGAAGGCATAATTAACCAAAGTGTGGCTTTTTCTTCCTTTCACGCTGACAGTATTTTTAATGTTTTATTGGTCATTTTGCTGTCTTGGGATGCATGCCTTGGGCCAGTGCTATACCTTTATTTGTACTACAAATATTTCTCAGCCCTGAGTGTTGTAAACAAAACTTTGGAAATCAGTATAACCAGTGTGGTGTTGTCTTCCAAAATAAGCAGATTACCCGAAACAAAACCTGAGGGGTTTATCCTGCTGCATTAATCTCATATTCGGACCTCCCACACGTAAGAGGACGATGTTAACTCCGTAAGCAGTGCCATCCAGCTAATCGGCTTACCTCACATGCCAGGATCCATTTCCAAGGTGTGTTCTCCATATGACTATAAGTAATAAAAAAACAGGAGCCTCTAAATGTTTCAGTCTAAATGTTAATTTTCATGCTTGATTAATAAAACAATTTATTGTTCCACTCATTTGCCTATCTATTCTGTAGACAAAATCTAGATACCATTTGCTGCAGAATATCTAGGGCTTTCTTTTTAAGGAAAAGGGCTATGACTGGAAAGAAGAAAGAAAATAATCTACTTGGCAGGGTGGATGTTCCTGTGGTGTTGGCTGCTTCCTTCCTTGATTAAGCATGGGAACGCTGGAAGAAGAGTAGTGATTCATAGGCAATGGAAGGAGAGGTAGCTACAGTGGGGGTTGGTGAGGAGAGCAGTGTTGATGTTCCTCTAACCTCACTAGACATGGGAACTTTGAGGACAAGCAAGTGACAGGTTTTGTCCCTTAGGGCTGTAACTTTATGACAGAGGACCCTCTTTGCAATCTGTGCTACAGTGGCCGCCCATCCTCAGGTCACACTCCCTTCCCGTGCTCCTCGGTCTCCATGCCCTCACTCTGCCCAGAGAAGATACCGAGGGGCTGGCTTCTGCGCTGTTAGCTAATGGTGGTGACGTGCAGCAGGTCTCTGCGGTTGCCCTGTTTGGAATTCTCCCTCAGAGAAGCTGGGGGGGCGTTATTCATTGCTAGTTCCTCTGTTCACTCCAGCAGGTGACAGGACCATGGGCGACACACAGAAGAGCAAGCTTCATCAGGAAAGTCCTGTGAGAGCTGAACTGCATCTGTTCCCCTCCAGAAAGCTCACAGGAGATACCCTCCAGGTTGCCGATCAAAGACAGGACTGCTGGCAGGAGCTGGAGACAGAAAATGAGGTGGAGACGACTTTTGGAAAGAGACGGGGAATGGTAACTCCCCGTGGGATGGAAGTCTGGGAGTGTGAGGACAGTGGCAGAGCCCGTATCAGCAAGGTTATCCTTGCTGGGGACAAGCCCGACCCACCCATGTGTGGGAATGGTGCCATTTGGATTCAGCAGGTGGGAGAGAAAACCTATGAATGTCCCGAGTGTGGGAAGAGCTTCAGCCGGAGCTCGTACCTGAGCCAGCACCAGAGGATCCACCTGGCAGAGAAACCCTTCAGCTGCTCTGAATGTGGGAAAAGTTTCACCCGCAACTCGGACCTGATCAAACACCAGCGGATCCACACCGGCGAGAAGCCCTACCAGTGCAACGAGTGCGAGAAGACCTTCAGCCAGAGGTCCAATGTGATCAGGCACCAGCGGACCCACACGGGAGAGAGACACTACCAGTGCAACGAATGCGGGAAGAGCTTCAGCCAGAACTCACATCTCATCGTCCACCAGCGAAGCCACAAGGGTGAGAAACCCTTTAATTGCCCCCGGTGTGAGAAAAGCTTCAGTGACCGCTCCTCCCTGATCATACACCGGAGAGTCCACACCGGAGAGAAGCCCCACAAGTGCCAGGAGTGTGGGAAGCGTTTCCGGGACAGCTCGGCCATCATTCGGCATCAGAGGATCCACACGGGAGAGAAGCCGTACGAGTGCACTGAGTGCGGAAAAACCTTCCGGCAGAGCTCCTCGCTGGTAACCCACATGCGAACACACACTGGCGAGAAACCCTACAAGTGCCCCGTGTGCGGGAAGGGCTTTAGCCAGAGCTCGGCGCTCACCACTCATCGCCGGATCCACGGCGGGAAGGTCTTGCCCATGTACCACGGCGGCCTCCTGCCCAGCCCCTACCAGTGCGCTGAGTGCGGCCGGAGGTGCAGCGACCGCTCCACGCTGGCCAAGCACCAGACCACGCATGCCGAGGAGCGGCCCTACATCTGCGTGGAGTGCGGGGACAGCTTCCGTCGGAGCTCGGCTCTCAACGTGCACCTGAGGATCCACCGCGGGGAGAGACCCTACAAGTGTGAGGAGTGTGGAAAAACGTTCAGGCACAGCTCAGCCCTTGGTGCTCACCTGAGGATCCACGCAGGAGCCAAGCCCTACGAGTGTGGCGAGTGTGGGAAAAGCTTCCGGAAAAGCTCGACGCTTAAAGTGCATTTGAGAATCCACGTGGCCAAGAAACCTTATAAATGTACGGTGGGTAGGAGAACGCTCTCTTCCCACTCACTTCTGCCATAGGGCTGGAGCGGGTGTTCGGAGCAGGAAACAAAAGCAGTGTTTGGGTGCACCTGAAAAAGGTGGGTGATGAGAACCACGGTGGGAAGGGACTGGCTGGAGACGTGGTAACTCTGGTGTCAGGGGTGGGTGCTTAACCCCAGCGGCACAAAAACCATTAGGAGGTCTGGAAGCAGGGAGTTAGTCTCAAGAGCTGAGCGCTGGTGGTTCAGGAAGAGTGCTGAGAGCCTGAGGAAGGGGCACCAGCTTCTGGGTAAATCGGAGACTGTGAACATGCGGTAGAATAACAACTGGGAGAATCAGGCTTGTAAAATAACTTTTCAACTAAAACGAAGATCAAAATAAAAAGTTCCAGGTTGGTTCTGACTCAAAACTTTGGCTTGTTAGACAGTGCAGTAGTCTTAGGAACTTTCTTTCTTTGTTACCTTCCCTTATTTTTCATGAATGTAGTAAGTTTACCCAGAGCTTGACAAGGCGCTTCCAAATCTTTTGAGTCTAAGACTTTGGAGCTGAACTTCAATCTATTTGGCTTTTCTTCCTCTTTTCCGAATCTTACATGGGACAATGAATACCTACCTCCGCACGCAAAGCCTGAGGGACATGATAGCCGAGTAATGCAAAACCGTCATGGCTGTTCCCAGAAAACATGGATGCGCAAGCATTTCCAGTTGGAACGCCACCCATTACTAGTCTGTGGCAGTTTCTCCCAAATTTGTCCTTGCTGGTTTGATGCACCTTCCAACACGGGACATCAACAAAACACGGGCAAAAATGTGGCCTTATCTTACTTAACCAAAAAAAATATCCTCCCCCCCCCCAGGATGTCCTAGTCAGAATCGGTACACGATGAGTTCCTACTGGTAGTCCAGAGACCGTCTGCGATTTTGTAGTCCTTTTTATGATAGAGTACTCTTCTTTAGCTCACTATAGTTTGTAAAGTATTAACATATAAAAAGTTCAGTGTTAACAGTTAGGAATTACTATATTTGCATTTCTTACTATGCTAATGACTGTATATTACATAAACCTCCTCTATATTGCTATGTTTTATTACTAGCTATGTGTTTCCATCCTAAATAAAACCTTTTTTTCCTCTGCATAATCCAGTTTTCTGCCCTCGCGTATGATGGGAGTGAAAAATTGCGAAGGGGGGGTCGGGCCCACCCTGTGCTTGGCGCGGCGAGGAGCTGGTGAAGGGCGATCTGACCAGAAAGGGGAGGAGGGAAAGCAGCTGCTGCGGTGGCGAGGCTTGGCCTTCCCAAAGCCCGGGGCCGATGACAGGCCTCCAAGGCCTCCGCCGCGGGGCCGGCAGCCCG